GTCTATCAATCAAGTCGATCAATGGACCTATCGGGTTTCTTTCAACATAGATTTAATCACTTTAATTACATTGTAGCATATAAAGTATTTTGTGACAAAATAATCAATTTGTAAATTACAACTGAAACAAAACACACCTGCTAACTGGTTATATATAGATCGCCAATTTTAAGCACTTGTACAGGAACAAACGCTACAACCATCAGCTACCCTAATTAAAACAAATATAATTAGACTAATGCTATTAAGGCTTAAATTAATACCTGTCATGAATACTGTATCTTGTTCATCCGATACTTGACTTTCAGAAAAAAAATTGATGTCTTAGACAGCATTTTATTATGTATCCTAGGGATTAGAGATAACTGTATTCTTAAAGTCATGCTTTCATATTGTTCAACTCTATGCTTGTGATAATCCAATAGGCCTAGAACAGCTCCTAAAGAGCTTTGCTCTTATATATGTCAAAATTAGTTAAGGATAAGATATTCTTATTTCTTATACTGTTAAACTACCTTTTTAAGGTTATATTTAACAATAGCAAGAAATAAAAAATAATTAATGATATTTATTAATAGTACTTCAAAAATACCTCAATGTATAAAATTATCAGATCTTATAAATATCCTCTATCGACATTTTGAATTTTGAATTTTATAAATTCATCACAATTAGCAACAATAAAAAACAGAAACAGTAACAATTACAGTAGTTTTACTATGTCTGTCTGTAAAAGAGAACATAGGGCTATTCCTCATTGCTATTAAGAGAAGTGATGTTGAAATAACAAAAAAAAAAAAAATTGTTTAAAGAGTCTAGTGGGAAATAACACATGAAAAACAATATGAAATCATACTGAAAATTATGAAAAAAATTATGAAGTTAAAACACATGAAAAATCAACTCAAACTATTACTGCTATTACTATTCAAAATATGTAGAATGATATCATAATTTAATATGCACATCGTAGATATGGTCTTTGCTTGGACAATGTTTGAAGAAGATTCAAGCACGGAAAGTGACCAAAGTGCAGGTCAGAAAAAATAGGAAATGAAATGGAAGAAAAATACATTAGCACAACAGCTATTTCTAAAACAAATAAAGTAAAAAAAAACAGGGGAACTTACTTAACGTTCCTAAGACTAGAACTACAGCTACAATGGTAATAGCGAAGGTGATATGGGAACTTACAACCATTGCGCGCAGTATGAGCCAACCTTGCGTAGGTCAGTGCATTGTAGTTCATATAATTCAGTGATTGAAAGCGAAAATTAATGCATCACAGTAATTTTGCGTTTAACCTAGCTGCAGTTGATTTCAACGCTTTAGAAAATGCGAATTACGTTTATACTTTAATCAACTGTCCAATAAAGGTCTTGAAATGGTCCTCATACCCACACCCAGGGTTATCACCGCGCTGGTCGGCGGTGGTCGGGCCCGTCCCGCACTCTATATTTCCAACCAGTATTTTTAGGCTGCCGACCACCACTATTTTTGCATAGTGGGAAAAAAATGTAGGCTAACAAAATACTTTTGTTACACGACTGCTAGAGTAGAGAGTTAGACAATGGACATGCTTGCTACGTAGATAAGACAAAAGATACGGTACTATTTTCGGGAAGATTTGATTTTTGTACACCACAAATTCATGGGTAAATTAATCATATAGCTATGATAACTACTATTTTTCCAGCCGGAGGGTTGTGGGGGGGGGGGGGAATGTCGACGACCACGCCCCCTGGGATGGGCCTGGTCGCTGACCACCACTCCAAAATACTGGTGAGAACCCTGCACACCCCACTGCGGAATGGCACCAAAACTTAATAATTTCTTTATTGGACCATGACAAACTATTATAGTTTCATTTAGATCCATTGATATTAAGGTATAGGACATTGGAATTTTAACTGACCCTCAAATTCAAGTCAAAAACTGGATGGTCACCAACAATTAATAATCCGTTTTTTTTTTTTCTGGGACGTTTTCCTTTGAATGGTCTTCATATCCACACCCTAGTCCGGATCATCACACAAATTTAATCATTTCTTTACTGGACCTTGACAAATTATCATAGAAGTTTCATTTAGATCCATCCATTGACAAGTTTTTTAGAGATATTTAGGTCTAGGATGTCAGAAATTAAAATGACCCTCACATTTGCCGGGCGGAATAACCCAGTGCAATAAGAAAAACAAAAACAAAACAAAAAAAAAACAAAAAAAAAACGAAACACCAGAACAAAAATAATGGCTTTTCTAGCTACTGTTGGGAAAAGCCAAAACACCATGAAAAATAGTAAAGTCTGGAAAATAATCAATCATGGAAAGTGACCAAAGTGCCGGGCAGAATAACCCAGTGCAAAAAGATAAGGGGAAAAAAAAAAAACACCAGCACAAAAACAATGGCTTTTCCAGCTACTGCTGGGAAAAGCCAGAACACAGCAGAAACAATAAGATCATAATAAATAATTAAGAGAATTATATGAAATCTATTACCTAGATAATATGTTGGTTAGGATTTAAAGGAGTGTAAATATAGAGATCATGCTTCTTGATTGGATAAAATAATTTAATACAAAGTGCATACCCTCTTGCAGGTCATCAAACAGGACAATGTGCCAATAACATACAATAACAAGTTCTTTCTATTGGTGGAAGCCTCAAACTGGAGCCTAAGATCAAACTATTAAGTACTTTTTTCCTGTTATTCCTTTGCTAAACTACTTAATGATTACACTTAGACAAATCTGTCAATTGATTAAATCTATCTACAGAACTTCCTATGAAAATACTAACATCTGTATGCTTAATTAATTTTATATGTAAATTGTTCTTTTCCTCTTTCTCCCCTCACAAAATGTTATGCTTACTTCTTAATTTTGTTATATGTTATGTTCTGTAGATTATCTTTGTATCTGCAGAAGCTCTTTAAACATTAAACGGAAATTATTTGAGGGGAAATTTACTTTCAAAAATGTCTTTATTATAGGGGTGTTATTACAAGGCAGGTGCTTTTTAGGGGGGTAGGGAGAGAGTAGGGAAGGCAATAATTTTTTGGTGGAAAGTGAATATTTCATATACGGTACTAGAATATGGTGAATACCATTTTGTATTGTGAGAGGTTAATAGCTCCAACACATAATTACTCTTAGGTAATCAATCATTTGATTAATAGAGTAGAACACTTATGGAATGCATATTGAGAAGAACTTTTCTGTTTATTCGATGTTTATTCATTACTTAATCAATCATTGGAAGGGGATAATTATTTAAGAGAATAATAGATTCCCTGGATCATGTATTTAAGAAAGGGGTGTCTAAAGCAAATTATGGATATGGACCGACAAGGAAGTGAAGCGATGCTTCAGAAATTTGTAGACTGATCTAGCCTGGGTTGAAATCGGTCTCAACCTATGCAAGGTATCCAAGTTCACCCTGACTTGCCCATGGGTGTATATTTCTAAAATCTTACTGTAATATTTCAGAGGTCCCAAGTCTACCGCTACTTTCAGTAGTCTACCGCTTTAGTGACGATCTACCGCGCTACCGTAAGCTTACGTTTTTCTACGCATGAAAAAAATTCTCCCGTAATTTTTTTGAAAATTTGAGTACGGTAGGCTATTTAATTTTGAATATAAGCTTAGCCTAGGCCTAGATAAAAACATAACTTGTTAAAAAACAATCGTAAACAATCACAAATAAGTTTATTCCACTCCCTACCATCAATGTTTATAATGCATTTGCAATTAATTACGGTAGCTGCTGAAAACACGGAATCACAATACACTTTGTTTATTAAAAAAGTTGATGCGCCCATCCTTCCGATGCTCGGCCTAAGACCATGCCTGCAGTGTGATTTGATATCTAAACAACCCTGAAAACAACACGCCACTTGACCCATAGAACAGGCCTATAGCTTTTTGCATAAAGTTAATTTTATCGAGCTGTATCATGAAAATAATTACATAATAATTAATTAATGGTCAAAAATAATAAGTAAAAATATGGCTCCAGCGAAGAAACATAAAAATCATGTGCTTTTAATTCACAATTCAAGAAGTACGTTCGCCACTGGTGGTCGTCGTTACCCTACCTGGCCTAAGCCTAGCCGCCTCCTCGAGCCATTTTTTCCTGTACTGGCTAGGGCCTAAACTAGGCCTAGGCCAACCGTCCTTTAAATACCTTAGGTCTAGACCTCAGTTAAGGTTTTTGAAGTCTAGCTACGCACACCTAGACAAGACTATTGATATTTTAACAAGAATAAAAATAAATTAGGTTACATACATTTTGAGATAATATTTTCGTTATTTTTTTATGTCTACAGACTTGTTTGCCATGATTGAACTGCATCCAAATTCCGCTCTTCTCTTAGCATCAAAGAAGCTACTAGACTACTACTACTGTTGAATACAATATTAAACTAACAGATGCCAGAAAAGAACTGTAAATTGATGTAATTAATGGGATGTAGTTAGTAGGCCTAAGTGTAAATAAATGAATAATGTACAATATAAGACTAGGCCTACTGTACAGATTAGTAGATTCCAGAATTTATGTAATTTCATGGTATATGTATTCATTTACATTGTGTAAATAAAAATGAAAGGAAGAGCAAGTTAACTGTGTGTTTGATCATTGAATGTCAAGTATTTGATATTATGAGTAGTCGAGTATTGGCCGCAACGCGACGCACCTTGTATTTGCAGGCGGCCAAAGGTTCCCGACAAAATCTCCTGCGAATGGAGTTCTTCAACTTGGGACCCCTGATATTTGGTTAAAATGGTCAAAAGAGAAGGGAAATTTTATTTTGGTAAACATAATATATATTATTTATTTCCAATATTTGAGCACTCAAGTCTCACTTGTTGGTAATTTTGAATGATTGACAATGAAGTATCAATCAATCAATCAATCTTTATTTTCCATCATCAATAAAACAACAAATAAAGTATTGTTGTAGTATTACAAGAAACTGACAACTACAAATATTTCCCTTACCATTTTATCGCCCTGCTTGGTACGACGCATGTTTGGACGATAATCGTCGCCATATCTTAGAAAGTAGAAATATGAGATGAGTCGCTCTAGAGGCTGGCGTACGATGTTGATGTAAACAGGCTGCTGTATACTACCAAATCTAAAGAATTTAAAAAAAATAAAATTGAACAAATTTGTTTTGTTCACACTATTCTCCCAATTCCAATATGACTGGAAGGAATGTAAAATGTACTATATGAACCAAGTATTCAAAAAAAGCTAATTTTAAAATTTTATCATAACATCAATCAATTGCCAGTACCCCAACTTCAAATTCATAATTTAAATCTATAAATCTTCAAATGCAAAAGAGTGCCTACAAGGCTAATTGCAATACAATGAAAGACAAAGTGCAAAATATACCAATGTTTAATAATTGTAATAATAACAATTTACAATGATATAGCGCATATTGCGCACTGCCTCCAGGCCCTTTACATCAAATTACAAAACCAAAAAGAATAATGAACTAACAATAATAAAATAAGGTGTTAGGCAAACAGTGCTAGTTCTCAACTACAGTATGTTTCACTATTTTAAGAATAAAAATCACTCTTTAAAGAGTGAATATTCACTTGGGGATCACTCTTTAAAGAGTGAATATTTACTTGGGGAAGAGTGAACTGAGTTATGCACTCTTTTACTGAAATTCACACTTACAGTATAAGAGAAAATATGTAATATCTGGAATACAAAACAAATTTGTAATTAAAAATGAAAATACATATTTTAATTTTAGAAGGAAAGATTAGGTTACTTAAAATCAAAGAAAGCCATGAATTCAAATAACTTCCATACCCACACATATCTCGTATTACCAATACTATACATACACAAAATTACATGCATCACAGAGCAATGTAAATTTTGGATTTTGTTATAACTTTTTTACCTTATATGAAGTATAGAAGACAAAATACAAAAGAAGTAACATTTTGTAAGGATATCTTGTATTAAAACCAACTATTCACACCTCCTATTTTGAAACTTCTTTATAAACTTAAATTTGATTTGGGAAGCAGTACAATATTTTTAAAATTTTAACCAATAACAACAACTTGAAAATGTGTGTAGAGATGACAGCAATTCCATACAATGGTGCTGTATTCAGAGTGAAAATATACTGGTAGATAATTGAAGGTAGATGCACTAATGTGTGTCAAAGTTCAAATAGAACATTCAATAATCTTTGTTTATCTTACATTCAGTTATACAAACAAAGATTATGGAATACCAAGAGGTCAGACTGTCGAGCTTTTGCCTGCATGAAATGAAATGAAAAACAAAAGCACTACCATGACCTATTAACTAGAAATTGCAAATTGCAAGTGAAGTGCTGCGAAGTACAACTGCATATAAATGTTCTTCGAACAAAATTATTTATGCGAGTCAAGTGAAAATAATGAATAATAAAAATATAACAAATAATATGAGACATGACCTGTCTCTTATACACATCTAGATGTGTATAAGAGACTTTCATTTTTGTCAAAAAGTGTCTATAGTGGTGAATTATGGTTTAGGCTTTTTTTAATAAAGTTTCAAAAATTTCTATGTATGTGGAAAATGTAGTTGGTTACCAAAGGTTACAATTTTTATTTTGAAGACTGCATGGTCTAGGAAGTGTATATGGGGCAAGTTTCCAAGGGCGGGTTTTCTAGGGGCGAGTTGACTGCCAAAGAGTGTTGCCAAAGTGCGAGCCAGCGTGTTATTTGATCACAAGTGCGAGACATATCACAAGTGTGAGCCAGCGAGCCATGACGTCACGACAATAGATAGAGACGTTAACGAGTTGAGCAAGGTATCGGCTGAGATTTGTGGAGTACAATTCAAAAAACAACTATAGGTCTAATAATGAATTATTGTGATGTTAAATAGACAATGTTAGCTATAAAAGAGCGACGTTGTTTTTCATTGGGACCTTCATCC